AATCAAGGCCTGTCTGCCATTTTTGTAAAAAAACCTGGTCATGTTATGTCTGATTGTTGGTATTTGAAAAAGAAAAAAGAAAAGGAGGCAACACCCAGTACATTTGTGACCACATTTGGACGTAGTTTCATCAGATCACCCGATGTTGTTGATATGGCCACTGACTTTAAGGCTGATGTAATCAGGGAGGAATTTAGACCTTTTGTGTCTGTTAGTTTTGTGACTTTGACAAATGAGACTGGCAATCCCATACCCATACGTATTCTACGTGATACCAGGGCGACTCACTCATTATTGTTAGAAGGTATATTGCGTTTAGATTCGAGTTCTGCCACTGGTGTGTCTGTTATTGCTCATGGTATTGAGGGTTTTTTTGTTGATGTTCCTCTTCATAACATTTATTTAGCATCAGACCTAGTTTCGGGACCGGTTGTGGTTGGAGTAAGACCTACTCTGCCAATTAAGGGTGTATCATTATTGTTGGGAAACGATTTGGCGGGGGGAAAAGTTGTTGCCGAACCTAAAATGATTAACGACCCGATCACTGATTCATCTAAGGACGATGTTGTAGTTGAAGAGAATCCCGATGTGTTTCCCTCGTGTGCTGTGACTCGAGCTCAGGCTAAGAAATTATGCCAAAAACAAATGATAGACATGGATTCAGAGGACGATGTTTTAGATTTGTTTCAGACATTTTTTCGATCCGATGAGGATCTTGTGGATAATTGTCCTACTGATGATTCCTCGGTAAGGAATAATCAGAGATCGAGGAATCCAATACCCAAGAATTTGTTAAGGGGAGGAGCACCCCAAGAACATACGTTGAACCAAATACTGTAATATTATTTTAAATAGAATAACGAAAAGTTGAAATCCACCGTAGTACAACAGCATAAGTTCTTATACTCCTAACCCTGATGAAGCCAAAATGGCAAAGCGTTGGTTGAACTGAAAAGACAATTAAGAAGTACCATTACCTAAACTGCTGTTTAGTCAGAAAGGTGTTTTTTTTCAGACTAGTTTGTTGTCATGAAAAAAATCTAAGTTTCAAATTATAGGAAGATAAATATGTTCTGTTTTTGTTGTTGTTTTTCAGAAAATATACTTTCGTTATTGTCTTATTACTGTTTAAAAGATAGTTACGATTACTGGTGCTTCAAAGATTTATACAGAAGCTCAGGTTTGTATACATTATTTCAACTGCGTGAAAAGTCACCTTTGTTCAGTGACAGAAAGAGAAATAGTATTTAGAAATACGGAAGCGTGGCTGGTGTCTGTATTAAAAAACAGATCCACCTGTTCTTCTATAAATGGTTTACAGCATCATTTTTATGAGGAATTAGATAGGCTACAGCAGTGGTTCCAGACTCTTTGTTTAGACTGAGGTTAAGTAATTAATTATGTTGCTTGCTCTAGACCAGCATCATAAACTTAACAGAGACTCGCGAGAAAAACGTGAAAGGCATACCTAATGAGAGAGCTATAGCACTTAAATTAATGTGTTAAAATAATATATAAGTACTGGCTTAAAAGTTAAGTAGACCCTTCACGTTACATAAAATATTCCAAGGGGATATTATATATATTGCCACTTTTACCAATGGGTGTCATTGTAGTTCTCACCTTCTGTTATATATGTAATTCTAAATTATATCACCTTTTCTATATCATTGAAATAACAAGCACGTTCTACGTATACGTTTATGATGCCACTTTGCAAGCCTTTCGCGGTCTTGTGCGAAAATTAGCAGCACCGATTAGTTTCATAAAAATAGAGTAAGGAAACAACAACAAGAACAAAAGATTCATTTCGTACGTGTCAGAGCAAAGCCACGTTGAGCTAGCTGCTGTATCTACCGCGGGAAATCGAACCCTTTATGTTAGTGTTGTAAGTCTGTAGACTTACCGCTGTCCTATCTGGAAACAAAAAAACAAAACTGAAGAAGATTGAAACTTTTACTAGTTTTGTTAAATATTCATCAAACATTAAGGTGTGTGAAATCTAGATCAGACTATATCAGCTAATAAGACCATTGTCCGTATGTATATATCTTAAAAACCATTTTCTGTTTGACAATGTTTTCCATATTTTCTTATTGAAGCTGCTAAATATCGGGTATCGATACCCGCAGTGGGCAGAACACAGATAGCCCGTTGTGTATCTTTGTCTTTAACAACAAATAAACAAGTACAAAGTCTATTGTGCTAAACATTTAAGTGTAGATTTGTTGAATAAAATGATAAGTTGCTTACCACATCTTCTTTGGGCTGCAATTCACACCAGATGTCGCTTGGTGTCACGTCTTCTGTGATTGCAGAGTCAATACCACATCTACTTAAAAGATAAAGAACTTGACCGATTAGGAATTTTCGAGAAAATCGATCATAGTCCCAAATCGCGATCTTTAAAGTTTTGTCGCCTAAATTTTCTGGTTTTATTTTAAAAACAAACGTTTCATCGAAGATTGGATTTGATGTTTTTTTATGAACTTTGGTTACAAATTTAGGGTACTTCTCCGGTAAGAGCGTAATTTTTGCAAATGGGTTTGCTGCATATTTAGAAAATCTCGAGATTAGGTCTGTCACGCCTATTAATCTCACACACAAGTGTTGACGGAGAATGTTGTAGTGGACAGAGAAGTTCACTTGTCCACTCCCGCAGCTTGTCCTTCGGTCTCCAACGTACAGTTCGTGTTCCAACTCTGTCGGATCAATGTGAAACTTGTCAGTAACAGATTTCCACCGAAGGTTTCCCTCTCCATCGTATGTGGACCAACGGTTATTAGATGACTCGTTATCCGAGAAAGATTCTTCCGCTGTTTCGCTGTAGGTGGAAATGGTAGGAACAACAAACTGTATCGGCTTATCTGTTCTGATAACACTTATCGGTCTCGGCTTGACCACAGAAGGGGTCAACTCAGTGAGCTGCTTGGCTTTCCTGCGTCGCTGGACAACACATCGACAAAAGAAAAATAGAAGTACACTTGTTAGTATACCACATGCAACAATAACCGACAATAATACCGATAAGGGTTGTGTTTTAGATGGCAGTTGGCTTACGTCATCGTGGTCACTCATTTTACAGAAATAACCAGTTACTGTTGTTGGTACATAACTTACTGTTTTGAAAATTGTCAACTTCTGAAACGAGATGGTTCCCTTTAAGTACTGGGAAAGAAGTACTGGACCAAGAAAGACAAACTTTTCAATATGGCTGCTCAATCAAATTTCTACTTCATACGTAATCATGCCAACTTTTATTGATCTGCACGCAGCACTGTCTGTTCTGAGGACGTGAATCATATGATTAGGAACTAGATAACAGGTGTGCTTGTTTTATGTCATGTCTTGGCTTAACGAGCTATCAAAGCTTGTGCTAGGGACTTGTACTGAATATACAGCTGTTTCAATACAATAATTCATAACGAATGAGCAATTGTCTAAATACAACATGCAACTTCAAAAAACTGGTCAGCGGAAGTGTAGGTACTGCACATGTTTTTTTCCAGGTTATCAGCCGTGACGTCAGAAATGTGAAATCAGAAAGTGGAAATGTTTTCCAATATATTTATAATGTTTACACGCACACAAGGGGAAAACTAAAAAATGTAACTGGTAGAATAACTAATATTTATAGAATATTGGATTTGGGTTAGAGTAAAGAATTGTGCTTTGAAACAAAAGTCACTCTCTTCCTGAAATGCTCATTATCGCATAAACAAAATGTCAATATTCAACTAAAAGCCAATTTGGTATCGAAATATTCAAAAACATTGTTATGTTGGACCAGTGTTTTATTCATTGCCACTTAAAACATTGTTATGTTGAACCGATATCTTATTCATTGTCACTTAAAACATTGTTATACTGAACTGATATTATATTTATTGTCACTTAAAATGACAATTTTTAACAATATTTAATTCATTGTCCAATTAAACGATACAGTTTAGCCTACATTTAGGTCATTATCACTTAAAATGATGATTATAGTCAGCAGCTAATTCATTATTACATGAACAATTTGATCATTTTTAAGCAATATCCTAATCATTATCACATATACAACATGATTATGTTTAAGCAATCTCCAATTTATTATCCCATATTATCATGTTTAGGCAATATATCATTTAATTACCAAATATATTTACAGTCATGAAAAGTGAGTTATGAAAACGCCTTGGATGAAACTTTCTTCAAGCGATATCTGTTTAAAATGCTTCAATTCCTAGATTCTGAAATTCCATTTATGTTTGTGCCTCAGTTGGTTGTTATAAAACACAAAACATTCTGAAGAACTAAACAGGTTTACATAATTTGATGACGAGGTTCCTACTTTTTACATAGTATTTTTATTCTTCCTTATTTGTTATCACGCGATTGTATTCTAAGAATTAAGAAAAGTAATCAACTTAAATTATTTAAATTCCATGAAATGTTTGTTATATTTTGATAAAAAGTTTAGAAAAAACGATCTTTACACTCCAGATGTATAAAAATATTTATTTTTTTATTTAACCACTTTATTTAATTTAATATTTGATAGTAAGCTCTTTTATTTTATTTTTGAAACAACTTTAGGTGATTTATTTTTCAACTGCGTGAATCAAACACCTTTCTCCTAGACCATTTTCGAGTTTAATAAGAAGTAAATTTTTCCATAACATTCAGTAAGCTTCATTTCACTCTCAGAATGCAAGGCTGTAAATATAAGTGATCATTGCTCTATTAGATTAAATGTTTTGCTGCATATGGAGATAAGAGATAATGATATTTTGGTTACAAATTTCAAAAAAGGCAAATTTCGAAGAGACGCGATAAGAATTATCTGTTGTGAATTGGGTAGCTGTGTTATTTGAAGACACTGATCAAATGTGGAAAATTTTTGAAGATAAATTTTTAAATATTCAAGGTAAAATATTCCTTATAAAAAGAAAAGGGCAGCTTCAATTACAAAACAGGATGGCTCACAAAGAGTATAAGAGATGAAAATAAAGAAAATCATCAGAAATTTAAGAAATTTAAATTGATGAGAGGTTTAGAAGATTATAGAAGATCGAGAAAGTTGGTGAAACAGGAATTAGGAAAGCAGAAAGGGTGTATAATAAAAGGTTGGCTGAAAATGTAAAAAATAACAGTAAGGATTTCTTTAAGTACATTAAGGGTAAACAAAATGTTAGGGGAGCAGGATCCTTGAGGGACGATAAAGGAAAGCTCGTACCTGATATTAGTAGATGGCTGGGCTATAAAATTTTGTTTTAAATAACGAAGATATAAGCAGTATTCCACATGTTTAACGGTTGATAGATGGAAAAAAGATCGAACAAGATGACTGCATGAATTCTGAGCTTGTTAAGAAGAAAGAAGGAAGTTTTAAAAAACGATAAGCCTGATAATATTTCCCCAAGGGTTTTGAAGGAAGTTAAGGATTGGATGTATGAGCCATGTGCAACTATTTTTTGTAAGTCCTTGAATAGTGGGCAGATACCAGAGGATTGGAAATAGCTAATGTCACTTCTCTTTTCAAGGGAGGTGATAAACATTGCCCCAGTAATTATAGACCCATTAGTCTTACATCAGTTGTGGGAAAAGTTTTGGAAAGTGATAAAAGTTGCTTTGTAAAGCCATTTAACAAAGTTTAAAATTTTATTGGATAGTCAACATGTTTCACTAAGAGAAAATCTTGCCTTACAAATCTTTTGAAAAGTTTACTGCTTATGTAGATGAGGGTAAGGGTGTAGATTTGGTGTATCTGGATTTCCAGAAAGCATTTGACAAAGTACCACATAAAAGTCTTGTAAAAAAATTATCTCTCTAGTTGTGGGGGATAAGTTAGCAAATTGGATAGAAAAGTGGCTGGATGGAAGAAAGCAGAGAGTTGTTACAAATGGAGTTCAGTCAAATTTGATTAATGTTACAAGTAGAGTTCAATCAAACTTGATTAATGTTACAAGTGGAGTACCTCAGGGCTAAGTCTTAGGATCTTTGCTCTTTTTGATTTACATCAATGACATAGATGAAGGAATGGTCAGTAAATTACTTAAATTTTCAGATGATATTAAGGTCTTGATTTGCAAAAGAGACATGAAGGTGTTCAACATCAACACTGAAACTTGGGAGGACCTCGCTGCCGATTGCGCCGACTGGAGAAACACTCTCCGTAAAGATCGGTGAAGAGGAATTGACGGTGGCGGCAGAAGAGAAGCGAGCGCATCAAAAGGAACAGGCAGCCAACAGACCAGCGTCAACGCACAAATGTGACCTCTGCAACCGGAACTGTCACTCTCGTGTCGGTCTCCTTAGTCACAAGAGACGCTGCTCTAGACGAGCGATCAACATGAGCTAACAATGGACGGATGCTCATCCATGGTCAAACCTGGCCGAAGGAGGTCTACAAGATTAAGGTCTTGGGTGTTGCTAGATGTGAAGAGGATGCTGCTGATTTACAAAAAGATTTAGATCATTTAGTAAGTTGGGCAAATAAATGTCAAATAGATTTTAATTATAATAAATGCAAGATAATGCATGTGTGTTATCATAGTTTGGTGTGATAGTCGATCATTCTCTAAAGCCATCCAAGGAGTGTGCATGGTAAACAGGACTTTGGGTTGTATCTACAAGTCAAAAGAGGTTATAATTTCATTGTATAGGTCACTAGTTAGGCTACATTTGGAATATTATGTTCAGTATTGGCCTCCTTACCTTAGGAAGGACATTGAACTGTTGGAAAGAGTTTAGAGGAGGGTTACTAGAATGGTTACGATGATGGAGGGATTGTCATAGGAGGAGAGGTTGAAATCCTTCAAATTTATTTCACTTGAAAAAAAAAAAGAGTTAGAGGGGATCTGATCGAAGAGTTTATGATTGTAAAGGGGATTGATAGTGTTGATACATCATATTTTTCATATTTAACAGTGAGAGTAGTAAGACTAGGGGACACAAATATAAAGTTTGGCAGGGTAGGAGTCATCTTCATTTAATGGGTTGCTTTCGGTTGCTTTGTGGAGGCAGTAAGTTGAAATGAGTTTAAGAGAGAGCTTGATAAGTATATGAATGATAAGGGCTGGCTTTAAGATTTTTTAAAATTTATTTATTAATAGTTTCAGCTTTTATGGTGTGCTATAAACATCAATCAGTAATAAAGGAGCACGATAAAATTAAACGTTATAAACAATTGATAGCAAGCTTTTGTTAAAACTCGTATAATTTGTAATCTTGGAAATTATAAGTCCCCTATTAATAACAATGTAATACAGAGAAATACATAATTAGACCGTTATAAAAATTGTCTTTACAAAACATTTGAATGATATGTTTAATATACGCTATCACCTTTCGTATTTTAGTGTAAAAAAAAGATTCATCACTTGTAAATTTATAATAATCAATTTATTATTGTTCAAAGACTGCACATATAATACACTAAAAGTGCTGCTATCTAGTGTCGAAAATAGAAGTGCTACTTTAAAATTATTAATAGTTTTTGAACGTCCTTCAGTAATAAGTTTTCGGGTTTTAACACTAAAATCTAAGTTTCCACTCCCATTGGTGAAAAAAGCACAGATAACCAATCGTGTAATCTTGCGATAGACCAAACAAAGAAATAAATAAAAGTTTCTCAACCAAATAAATTAAAATTCTTATTAAAACTAGGATAAGTTAATATAAAAATTATAAATTAATGAAGAAAATGATAGCGCTAATTAACCAAATATATTTAACTTTATGCAAGTTAGCTACTACGTTACAGTTGAAAATCTAATTATTGTATATGGATGTAAAGTGAACAATAATTAAACAGTTATTTTTGTTTTGTTTCTGGCAGTCCCCAATTTTGAACTGCCAACCAGAATAAAGGTAACCAGCTGGCAGCACACACTTCCAGATTTTGAGTTACTCTCGTAACGTTCCCATGTTTAGCGACGGGTTTCGATCCCACATATTGTGAATCTATTGCCTAACCACCAGGTCTAAAAGTTATGAGTAGGTTTGTTTCACTGTTACCAATATGTTTCGGTAAGCATTGTCATTATTATTTCAGTTAAGCCTAAATCTACATATTCAAGTCAACAATA